ATGAGATATTATTGGATGATTATTTTGTAAGAATTTTTTTAAATTTCATTAAAACGCCTTAATAGATTTACCGTTCCCAGTAATTTTATTTTTTCCCAAGGTTAGATAGACTTCATGCTGGGTAATCAAGAAAATTTTGTTTCGATTATAACAGTTTAACAAATTTATGTTCACATTTACGCATCGATAACATATCATTTTTGTAATTCTAAAATTTAATTTTTACGTTTTTTCCTTAATATAAACAATTTATTTTGAATATAAAGAAGTTAAGATGAATTTGGTAGAATGATAATTAAATAATTGAATCGGTGAATAACAATTTATTATTAATTTTCGATGATGAATATATACTGATTATCATTTTCTTCGCTATTAATTTTACTTGATTCTCATTTATTATTAATTCATTTCATCCATTTTAAATGAATTTGGCACATTTCAAATCATTTCTATTGATTGCTAAGCTAAACTTAATTAATTATAAATTAAATTGTTGGTATGATTATGGTACTTTATATATACATATACATATATATATATATATATATATATATATGTTTATATCACGTGTTTTTTTTGTATTTTCACGTAACGGTACATTTGTCATATATTGTCCTTTTTCCTATAATATATGCGTAATTGAAAAACTTTTTTGTGTAGTTTTTGTATTTTGAAGTGATGTGTTATATATAAACAAACGTGTTATTATACGTGTTGTCACACGTCTATTTACATTTATCAGATGGCATTTTTAAAAATTGAAAATTAAAAAAATTAAAAAGTTTGCAATCATAAAAATTAATTAAAATTCATTTAGCAACAAGAATGCTAATTTATTGCATGAATTAACAGATATCAATAATAAATCAAGCGACAACAACAAATAATATTAACAAAAAAAAACATAAAAAAAAAGGAAAACGAAAGAAAAGGTATTTTGCCTTTTTATTAATTATTTAATTAAATTAAAATTTTGTAAATTTAGTGAACAATTTTTTTTTGTTTTATTTTTGTACTATTTTACGAATTTTATGAATGAAATTAATGCTGAAAGGTTACAATAAAAATATGTATCACAAATAAATGACACTTTTTGTTATTAATTAAATTTAGCTTTTTCTATTTTCCTTTTAACAAAATATTTATTTTTTTTTCGTTTTGTTGAAAATTTTAAAAAAAAAGTGTATTTTTAGGTCACAAAAATTTTTGTGCAATTTGAAGTGCTCGAAAGAAAAAGGAGAAATAAAAATAAGAAAATAGAACGATAGAATAACGTGATTAAAGATATTTCATCCAATACGGAATTTATTTTCAAGAAACAACAATAACAACAACAACGACAACAACAACAATAACAAGGACAACAACAACAACAATAACTAATACTACTGGTACAACAACCAGCTACTATTACTATTACTCATACAATTAATAGATAGTATAATTGTAGTAACAAATTATGGATGATATATGGATGCAAAATGGTTCAAATCCGAATAAAATATTAATGATGCCATCAACAACACAATCACAACCATTCCCTCATCCGGAATCACATTGGCGAATGTATTCGGTATTAAATTCTGGACAATTTTCCGGAAATTTTGGACGTCTTTCAACAAACACTAATCATAATATTACAACTGGTTTAACATATTCACAACAAACAATTGCTTCTACGTCAGTATCATCATCATCATCATCACCATCAACAACAACATCAGTATCATTATTATCATCACCATCTCATCATCATCATCATCTTCATCAACAACAACAACAAAATATTCATTCATCAATGATCACTAAACGTTCCGAATCGGCATCATCCATTAATGATACAATGAATACGACAACTTCAACCGGTGAAACAACAATTGCTAGTGCTATCAAGAATATGATAAAAACGGAAAGTAAATCGATTGATGCAACAATTTTTGCAAATTCCGTATGTTTGATTTATTTATAATTTTTTTCCTTGCTTTCTTTCCGTTTTTCAGGAAAAAAATTTGCATAAAAATTCGGAAATCCAGAAAAAATCCAGTTTTTTTTTTTTTTTTTTGTATAATCTTTTTTCATCTAATCAATGAAAAAACATATTTAACCGCTATGGGGTTATGTATATTTTTCACTATTAATTTCATTTATTTTATTACTACTAATTCTTTTGATTAAAAATTATTAAAATATTGAGAAATAATTAATTATGTTAATTATTCCTTCATTTATTTTTATCTTTTAAAAAATAATTACTGAAAAAGGGAAATGAAATAGTGGAAAAAGAAATAGTACTTAAATACCGAAATATTGAAATGTCTTTTATATAAAAATAATAAAAGTTTAAATGTCTTTTTATTTTCTGTTAACTCTTATATTAGTAGTCGTAATAAAATTAGTTGATTCTAAGAAAAGACAAAGGAAGCAAAAGTCGTCGTATATTCATATATTTGAATTTGATTTCGAATTTAATTTTGCTTTTAATAACTTTTTTTCTACTCTCTCTCTCTCTCTCTCTTTCTCTTTAGTTAATACATTATGCCAAATTTGGATTCATAAATTATGCAATATTCATTTATGCACATTTTTTCAGCCATTTTAATTTCCAATTATTTAATTAACAAAATTACTCGATAACTATTTGATCATCTTCTTTTTCTTTCCTAATTTCAATCATTTATTAGCAGTTTATCATGATATCAAACTTTACATCAAAATTAATTTTAATGAACAATTAATTAATTATAACAAATGATAATTGCTTTTCATTGATTAGTAATTTTATATTAAAATTCATCTTGCTAAAGAAAACTAATTGATTACAATTTTATTATCATTCATTTATCATAAACAATACACAATTTAATCGTATTGATTAATTATGATAAATGATTAATCATGATAAATGCTAATTAATTATTACTCTATTATTATAATTTATGCAGATGCATATATCCATGTTGATTAATCATAATCATTAAAGAGATGTGATAAAAAGTAAAAGTTTCTTTTTTTTGATGAGGAGGGAAAATGTATTTCATTGTCAATTGACGAATGTGAGGTGCTACCTATGAAGCGTAATATGTAATGGCAATGATTACTTGTCAACTAATAATGATCATCCATTTATCTTCCATTCATTTTATCACCCATTTGTTTTGCTCACAAAATTTGTTGAAAGGATGACAAGTGTGATGATCAGAAATGATTCCGATAGGTTTAAGTGATTGAATTATTGAGTGAAGATGACAATATTGTTACTTTCAAATGAGCGATATTGATGACATTGTCGCGAGAGATTTCCGCAATTGTCTGCTATTTATGTAACAATTTCTTTTTTTTTCTCTGTTTTATTAGATTAAACAAAAATTAATTGCTTGGTGTGATTTGTTTTACTGATAATAATGATAATAATAATGATAATAATAATAATAACAATAATAATAATAATAGCAATAATAACAATAATAATAATAGCAATAATAATAATAATAATAATAATAATAATAATAATAATAAAGAATAACAATAACAATAATAATAAAAATAATAACAATAGCAATAATAGTAATAGACAATAATAATAATAATAGTAATAATAATAATGTTAATGAATGGGATAACTTATAAGTTATTAATAATTTGAAAGAATTGTAATTGTTATAATTCAGAACATTTGGAAGCATTAATTAATTTGGATAATTTTGAAAGCGCTAAAAGAAAAAAACAAACAAACAATCAAAAATGATTGAAATAATTTGAAAGCATTGCTAATTCATTTGAAATTTATAAAAATTTTAATAATTCAAATAGTTTTTAAATATTATAAAAATCTTTTTGACGTAAATATAACAATGAGCATATTTCACAAATTATTCCACTGTTATCTTAGTAAATCAATCATTCAAATCTCTTCGAAGCTAAATTCCCCCATCAAATCATTGTGTAATGGATAAAAGGCTTTTTGACATTTCAATTGCAAAACATGTTCAATCATATCATTCCAAAGCATTGTTAATACATCATTTAAGATATGTCATTGTGATAAGCAACTAGCATTCTTCCTAACTTATCGCTAATTTTGGATTAACTTTAGTTAAAATTATCAATAAAATTTTCTCAACTAAACAAACATATTATTACCACTATCATTGTTATCACTAACTATTATCAATCACTACTACTATTCACTACTATTGTTGTTATCACTAACTAGCTACTATCCAATCATTATCACAATAGTTTAATATGATTAAATTCAACAATAACTGCTACTATTCATTGTTATTATCATTATCACTGACTATTACCAATCATTACTACTATTCACTACTATCACTGTTATCACTACCTAACTATTATCAATCATTACTACAACAATTTAGTATGATCAAATCAAACAATAACAATAAGATAAATGTGAATAAATGAATGTTTTTTTTTTTTAAAATTTTTTACATCCCTTTCTGATAAACCATTTGAAATCTTTTCTCATCTTCCAAAATAGCTATATCAATCTGATTTATAAATCCAATTTACATTCCAATTTGTCCGTTTTTTTCTTTTTTTATTCTGCCTTTTATCCTCATTTCCCGCTTTTCCCAATTATCCAAAGCTTTTCTTCTCTTTTCAATTCTGTTTTTTTTTTTCATTTTTGCATTTGTTTTCCTTTTTTTTTTTTTTTTCT